ATTTAAGCTCTCATTCATGAATCCACGACCCAATATAAACAAATACAACACATGTGCTGATTTCTATACCAAAGCGATGTGATGACAAAGTAAACAAGGCTAAGGCTTTCTATTTGCTGATTTATATACGAGACTCAAACTCATCTGAATAACAAAGATAATAACTTTAGATCTATCTACCTCAGGTCGTTCTTCTTTGTCGAGATCAGCAGCTTTGGAATCAAGCATCATAGCCTCAACGCTCAAATCCGCAGAATGTTCTTTCCAGTAATTCTTTTGGATTTCACGCTCCTCCCCTGAAACCCAGGAAAAATTAAGGAGACCCAAATCATCAAAATCAATGAAGAAACGATTACCCAAATTCAAATCAAAGCTCATCGAATCGACCCAGGAAATTTCTAAATCCTAACTTCTGTCTGCATTACATCATCGTGATTTACGCCAGAATACGAAGCCGGTAGCTCACCATAGGCAGCCATTTTCCGTGAGAGTAACAGAAAGGAACGATTTCTTCTCGAGGATGATGAAATCTATGAATATTGAGAAGAAATTCGAGACGGAGATGAAGAAGTATAGTGATCCTTCGATGGCGATTCTAGATCTGGAAAAGCTCCTTGATCTGCGGTTGTGAAGTCTACCCTTCGGATGCATCAGCTCCAAATTCTCTGGATCGATTTCTCGCTGGACTGTGAAGCTCCTCTTCGCCGACCACGAACGATGTTTAGGAAGACGAAGCGGTTAAATCTAATTTCGGTTTACATTTTTCTATTGTTCCGGTTCTTAATCGGTTTGTACTCAACCGAACCGAAAACCTTTCGTTCCGAAAATCAAACGGGGGACAAAAATATGGTGAGGGACGGTTGGGCCGTTTGGAGAATCTTATTTGTCATCACGTGCATACACGTGGCATGTCTTGCACCGTCCGATTAGGTAGGTGCTCACATGCATAAATGGAGTGTGTCCCACGGAAATTATCACCGCCATTTTTACATAAAAAGGTTTCGTATTTTTCCTATAATTGGAAAAACAAATTATTTCTGTACGTTCAAAGAAATACTATTTAGATTCAATTATTTTTGTCGCACAGACCTAAGATTTCCGATACTCTTTTATTCTTTTAACGAAAAAACTAAAAGACTAAACTAGGTTTATATTTCAAAAACTTAATTAGGTTCAAGCTATTACACAACATCGATTACGTGATAAACATATTTTTATATCTAAAGCCATAAATCATAATTGTGCTTTAAAAAGTAGAAACTCCAGTTTTCTATATTTATGTTTTCGACTTTTTTTTTTTTCTTTATCGTCTCGCAAGCAATTTACGTACATCACGTGGTGAACTTAAAAGGAGGGGCTG